GGAGGGGTGGGAAGGGGGACAGGGAGTGCCCCCAAACCTGCCTGTGCCCCAGGTACGTGGTGGGTATGGGAGTAAAGGAGTAAACCCGAGGCGGCCTGAAAAAATGAAGTAAAAGAGAATATAAATCAAAACAAAACACACTCATTTGTGCATTGCACTGGACAGTGCCTGTGGCCAGAGGGGATGTAAAGCGCATCCCTCGGGTGCGTTGAGAGCTATACGGGTGGCTGCCTGGCATTGCCGTGTCCAGCAGCCTCCCTTCCACGCACACAGCCCCGGCCTGGAAGCTCTATTTGCACCATCTGGGACTAAAATAGTTAGAAGGGCATCAATTTGGGGTAAAGTTTAATGACCAGACCAGTCATAAAATCTGTTTGTCTGCCTTTCAAAGTAAGAACCAAGTCACCGAAGGGAAGGAGCGTTACTTGCTGGCACTTCAGAGAAGAATTTAGCAAGGTCAATTATGAAATGGGAGCCCGAGGAAGGCAATGGGTTCCTAATTTCACCCCCAAATTGGCCAGCAAGTGAATTAAGAGGCACAATCTGGGCTGCTAATGGGTCTGTGATAGTCTGCAGTGGCGGAGGATGTGGCTGTGGGGCACCTAGTACCCAACCCAGCAGTGCCCTGACCTCGAGGGGTCAACAGGCTGGATAGCATCCAAGTTTGGGGATGTTTGGGGTATGATTTACTCCCCTGTAAAGGAATAAAGCCTTAAAGGCTTGAAAAATGGAGAATCCATCCTTAATTTGGCATATTGTTTGCAAGCCTCCACCATAACCCAGCTCACCGAGGCCGATTTTCTCATTCCTATATAGGATGTACCAGCCTTGAAACCCATTTTCCACTACGATGCCTATGGTAATTTGATATAAAAAAAAATTAAAAAGAGTTAATTGTGACTCCTTTATCTGCTGTTGCAAGACAGTGACACTGGACCTAGCCATTAATATGTGCAAGACATTAATTTTAGACATTTCCCAAACTATTTAATGTTACAAATTGCTTTTTTTTTTTTTTTTGACTAACCACACATTGCAACGCCCCTTGATTTTGGCAGGTGAAAAACATCGAAGAGAGCACTAAATATGAAATAACTGATTTTACACCCCAAGGGATGCCAAGCCTGGCTGCCAGCTAGCTGTGAAGGGATGCAGCCCACTTGTGTGCAACAAAAAAAAATCGTACGCTCTTCACCCAAAAGCAGCCCCCTTCTTTAGGCAGTGCCAGCTAAGCCTCCGGGAGGCCAAGCCCCACGCTTCCAGACTCCTCTCCTGGAGATTCCTTGGGGACCTTGCTGTCACCCGGGCTGTCTTTGAAGAGCTACAGATGGCCGATAAGGCTTTGACAGACAGCTGGAGCCAGGGCGCTGTTAAGCTAATGGTCCTGCTAACGGCACCCGGGTGTGAGACGCACCGAGGGCCCCCAGCACAAAGGGATAAAGCCAGGCTGGGAGGAAAAAGAAAAGGAAAAAAAATAAAAAGCCTTTTCCTGGCATCAAGACGAGGCGCAAACAGAGCTGATCCCTCTAGGCTAGGATCGGATCAATAGCCAGCACTCTGTGCTCTTTTTGGGGGGAAACCGGCTCTCTGTGGAACACCCGGAGAAGGAGCATGGAGATTTGGGATCTGCCATCTTTCTGTACGCCTTCTGCTCCAGCAATTCACATTTTACATAGCAGCTTTGCATGCTAGACCCTCCTATTTTCTCCAAGCCACCACCCCCTCCCTGGCTCCCGCAGAGTAGGGTAATAAAGGCAGGTCTGGTCCTCACCCGCCCTGGCTTCTCCTCCCACCTAATGCAATCATCTCAGTGCTGATGTCTTCCAAAGCTGCGTCCCTTGGAAAGAAATTCACTGCGTGTGGTTACCAAAAATGAAGGGAAAAAAAGGCCTGGTAAGCCATCACCTTGCAGAAAGAAGTCCTTCCTTCTGCAGGTCTTGGTCCTACCTTAAGCACCAAGGGAGGAGTGACACCAGTGGGTGTTTGCTGCTACTCTGACCTTTGCTTTGTCCCCTGTGCTCTAAAACACTGTGAAAATATTAGGGAAAGCACAAGTATGCCAATGATGGACAGTGAATCGCCCGTTTGCTCTTGGAAAGCTACCCCACGAAGCATGGGGGTAGCAGGAGGATCTCCTCCTCGTCATTGTGTCCCTGGATGTCACTCTGTCACAGCCCTACCGGGACAACCTTTGCTGGCTAATCCGCATTACGTCTTGACACGTGCGGCCACCCGTCCGGACCCCAAATAACCCGTGGCAGCAGCGCTGCAGAGCCGGCGGCACCGTCGCTCAGGCCCAGGACATCAAGCCGTTCTCCTCCCGAGTGTCACCGGGGGAATTTATGGCAGCAGGGTTTAGGGAGGTCAGAGGAGAGGGATTTAGGTCAGCTTGTCTGACAGGGCGGCTGGGGATTTCAGCGGAAGCAGGCTCCCAGGGAAGA